GTGCGGAGTCTGCTTGGGCTTCTCTCCCCCTCCCTCTGTCTCCCTACCCTCTCTCAAGAAAATAAATAAATGTTTTTTTTTTAAAGGGTAGGGGGGAGAAAAACAAATGTTGGGTGAACACCTGACATGACAGGCTCTTCCAAAAGCTCATTCCAAGGAGGAGAAAAGAAGGCCCTTACTTTTTCACCCCAAAAAATATACCTTTATTAGTTATCTATTGCTGCATAACATATTACCCAAAACTTAATGACTTAAAATCACACACACTTATCATCTCAACATTTGTGTAGATCGGGAATCTGAGCAAGGCTTACCAAGGACTTCTGTGACACAGCCTCTCACAGGCTGTGATCAGAATGTTGGCCAGGACTGAGGTCTCATCTGAAGACTCAAGTGGGGAAGGATCCTTTTCCTAGTTCACTTATTTATTTTGAGACTGGACTGTGTTCCTCAAGAGCCATTGAACTCAGGGCCTCAGGGTCTTACTGTTGGCTGAAGGCTACTCTCAGTGGGCTTCTCTAACTCTTGTGTGCAATTTGCTCCATCAAAACCAGTAAGGGAAAGTGTCCAGTAGCAGGAATGAAGCCAGAGTCTTTGTAACCTGACCACGAAAATGACATTCCCTCAATATTTTCATATTTTGTTGGTTAGAAGCTAGTTACTCAAGGGGAGGGAATTACATGAGGTCATGAGCACCAAGAGATAGGCTCACTGGGGACTATCTTCAACGCTCTTTGCCATATTGTGCCCTCTTCTGCATTTCAGGACTCCAGTGTTGACCTTTTGTTTCCCCAGCTTCTACATGCACCCTCTCCTCTTCTCTTCTTCTGCTACTGCAAAAGCAGTCCACCCCCCCCACCCCCCACTGACACCTTCCTGAAGTAGGCATTGCCCTCTTTTTTCTGCAGGACCACAATGGCAGAATCATTCCAGGGGAATGCAGAGGATTTCAATAAACACATCTGTTTGGGATTTTTTAAATCTTATACCTGAAAAGGTCATGCAATCAAGTACAAGTAAATACACAGAATGAGTAACAGAGTTAGCAGAGTTAGAAAACAGAGAAGCAAGGAGAGGCATGTCCCAGGCAAGGCACAGGTGTTCACGTGAGAAGTCAGGGTTGTCAGAGACAGTGGCTTGGTTTCCCCAGGGCAATCAGAGGTATGTCGATAGGGAAAGTTTTATGAGGTGTTTTGTTCTTTTCTTAAGGAATTCCATTTGTAAGTGTATCAAAAGGATCCAACAGGAAATTGTGATACACTCTGAGTGGGTAATGGAAGGGCAGTTTTTAAAAAGGGGCTGTTCATAGGGGCACCTCGGTGGCTCAGTCATTAAGCGTCTGCCTTCAGGCTTAGGTCATGATCCCAGGGTTCTGGGATCAAGCCCCACATTGGGCTCGCTGCTCAGCAGGAAACTTGTTTCTCACTCTCGCACTCCCCCTAATTGGCTCCTTCTCTCATCGTACCTCTCTCTGTCAAATAAATAAATAAAATCTTTTTAAAAGGGGTGTGGGTGCTGTTTGTAAAGGTGTGAGCAGAGTTAGGGGCTAGAGCAGCACCCCAGAACTAGCAGCACTGGAGAGCTGTCAGCACCCACATGCCTAAAGAAACTAAGGAAACCATGGTTATAGCCAGAAAGATTGGTTGTGTGGAAAACACTGTGACCTCTGACTAAGAGTGGCCACCCATGGACACATGTAGAGAGGGACTGGAGAGAGTAATATCCTGGCCTGTGTCTCCTCCTACCCTCCATCTCCTGACAGTGCCTCTCATTGACCAAACCCAACCAGAAGCCAGAAGACAGAGAGCCCATCAATGTGATCCATACAGGTTGGTTTCCTGAGACAGAGATGAACACAAAAGGGTGGGCTTGCTCTGACAAATGGAAGATACAGCATATAACACACAGACCATATCTTTCTGGTGAATCTCAAGGTGGAAACCCCATCCTCAGTGTTTAGCTTGTTCTTTTGTTTCTAATTCCTTGGCATGTATAGTTAGGTTGTTGATTATGTATCTTTCTTCCTCTTTAAAGATTTTATTTATTTATTTATTTATTTATTTATGTATTTGACAGAGAGTAAGTAGGCAGAGAGGCAGGCAGAGAGAGAGGACGAAGCAGGCTCCCTGCTGAGAGAGAACCCAGTGTGGGACTCAATCCCAGGACCCTGAGATCATGACCTGAGCCGAAGGCAGAGGCTCAACCCACTGAGCCACCCAGGCGACCCTCTTTCTTCCTTTTTAATGGAAACACTTGCAGCTATGAATTTCCCTCTGAGCACTGCTTTTGCTGTATCCCATAAGTTTTGGTATGTTGTGTTTTCATGTTCATTCATCTCAAACTATTTTCCAATCTAACTTATAATTTCTTCTTTGATCCGTTGTTTAAGAGTGTAGTGTTTAGGGGCGCCTGGGTGGCTCAGTGGGTTAAGCCTCTGCCTTCGGCTCTGGTCATGAGCTCAGGGTCCTGGGATCGAGTCCTGCATTGGGTTCTTTGCTTAGTGGAGAGCCTGCTTCCCCCTCTCTCTCTGCCTGCTTCTCTGCCTACTTGTGACTTCTCTCTCTGTGTGTCAAATAAATAAATAAGATCTTTAAAAAAAAAAGAGTGTATTGTTTCATTGCTACGTATTTGGCAAGTGTCCAGTTTCCTTCTGTCACTGATTTCTTATTTCATCCCACAGTGGTCAGAGAAGATGCTCAGGAGGATTTCAATCCATCATCAGGTTTAATTAGACAAAAGAGAATGACTAAGCTATTTCACATATACTAGGGTGGCTATAATTTCAAAAAGTAGAGAATTGATTTTGGAAGAATGAGGATAGCAGAAACAATGATTCTTCATTCTCCCCTACTCCCAGTCTCTGGTAACCTCAAATCTACTTTCTGTCCCTATAAATTTGCTTATTCTAGATATTTCATGTAAGTGGAATCATATATTTGTACTTTTATATCTGGCTTATTCATTTACCATAATGTTTTTAAAGATTTTTTAAATTTATTTTAGAACGAGAGGGGGGCTGCCTGGGTGACTCAATCTTTAAGTGTCTGCCTTCAGCTCAGGTCAAGATCCCAGGGTCCTGGGATTGAGCCCCACATCAGGCTCCCTGTATGTCAGGAAGCCTGATTCTCCCTCTCCCACTTCCCCTGCTTGTGTTCCTGTTCTCACTATCTCTCTCTCTGTGTCAAATAAATAAAATATTTAAAAAGAGAGAGAGCACAGGAGTGGGGAGAAGGACAGAGGAAGAGAAAGAGAGAAAACCCCAAGTAGACTCCCCACCAAGCCCAGAGCCTGATGTGGGACTCCATCTCACAGCTCCCGGGATCATGACCCCAGATGAAATCAAGAGTTGAACAACTGGTGAATGAATTAAATAGAGATGGTATATATATATACCATGGAATATGATTCAGCCATAAAAACAGAATGAAGTCTTAATATTTGCAACGATGTGGATGGAACCAGAGAGTATAACGCTGAGCGAAATCAGTCAGAGACAAACACCATACAATTTCACTCACATGGAATTTAAGAAGGAAAGCAAACAAAACAAACGAAGGGAGAAAAATGAGAGAGAGAGAAATCAAGCTACAGATGCTTAATTATAAAGAACAGATTGGGATGCCTGGATGGCTCAGTTGATTAAGCGTCTGCCTTCTGCGCAGGGTCCTACGATTGAGCCCCTCATAGGGCTCCTTGCTCAGTGGAGAGACTGCTTCTCCCTCTGCCTGCCCTTCCCCCTGCTTGTGCTCTCTCTCTGACAAATAAATAAATAAAATCTCTTTAAAAAATAAAAATCAAAATAAATAGGGTGCCTGGGTGGCTCAGTGGGTTAAAGCCTCTGCCTTCGGCTCAGGTCATGATTCCAGGGTCCTGGGATAGCGCCCACATCGGGCTCTCTGCTCAGCGGGGAGCCTGCTTCCTCCTCTCTCCCTCTGTCTCTCTCTCTCTCTCTCTCTGCCTACCTGTGATCTCTGTCAAATAAACAAATAAAATCTTTTTTAAAAATAAAAAAAAATAAAAAATTTAAAAAGAGCAAATTGGTGGTTGCCAGAGGGGAGGAGTGTGGCAGGATGGATTAAGGAGGTGATGGGGATGAACAGGTGTCATGAAGAGCACCAGGTGATGTGTGGAAGTGTTGAATCAGTACACTGTACAACTGAAAATAATATAACACTGTATGTTCACTACCTGGAACTTAAATAAAAACTTTTCACAAACATATCTGATAAAGGACTGTCATCTAAAATCTACGAAGAACGCATGAAACTCAATAATAAAAAATTTAATGGATAAAATGACAAAATTTATGTTACATAAACTTTACCACAATGATTTATGAAATCCTCCTCCTTTCCTTTCCTGTCACACAACAAAGAAAAGATCCAAGAGGAAGACAGCTAGAGAATCATCATGAAATCAACTCTAATCATCATGACACTCTAGCTTTTACAAATATTTATCACTAAGAGGATCTTACTGTTTATTGTCTCCTCCCACTAGATTTAAGTATGTGGTTCGAGCAGGAAGGAAAAAGACATCCTGCAGCGGCTGGTTCAAAGCCACCGAGAACACGGATTAGAAAACCCGGCTCCGGGTCAGATGGGAGCTCTGCGTCTCACGATCACCGAGTGCCCCAGGGGATGGCAGAAGGCTCCCTAGCGGTCCTCACCCCCCAGGGCAAGGAGGAAGCAGCCTTCCCTGCTCGTTGTCAGCACTACCCTGCCCCGCTCGCCCAGGCTTGGCAGGGTTCATGGCTGGTGACCATCTGCACTGCAGAGCGCGGTGCATCCCCGCAAAGTCAAAGGCTCAAGGACCAAAGGAAGAGGCCGCGCTGTTTTCCTGAACTTCATGGTGGGTCTCAGCCACTGCCAGTTGCCTCATTGAAGACGCTATTTAATTCAAGGCTACAGGAGCGACCCCTGTATTCCAAGCAGGGAAACTGAGCGTCAGGCGGGATATACGTTCATGAAGAAGCTAGAAGGGGAACGTGGATCAAGCGTTTATTGAAAAACCCCGCGGTTCCGCCCCAGGGTCCTCCTCAGAGCCACCCGCACCTCCTTGTTGCGCAACGTGTACACCACGGGGTTCAGCAGCGGCGTCACCACCGTGTAGAACACAGCCACCAGGCGGTCCTGCTCAGGCCTGGCCCTGGACTCGGGCCGCAGGTAGATGATGGAGGCGCAGCCAAAATGCACAATGACCACGGTGAGGTGGGCCGCGCAGGTCGAGAAGGCCTTGCGCCGGCCGGCGGTGGAAGGGATCCTCACGATGGCGGCCACGATGAAGACGTAGGAGAGGAGGACGAGGAGGAAGGAGACCAGCACCACGAGGACGCTCAGGAAGAAGATGGCCAGCGCTTTGCCGGCGCTCTCAGAGCAGCTGAGCTTCAGGACCGGCGTGATGTCACAGAAGAAGTGCTCCACGCGGTTGCTGCCGCAGAAAGGCGAGGAGAAGATCATGCTGGTCTCAATCGAGGCCACCGAGAAGCCGGAGCAGAAAACCAGGGCTCCCAGGCGGAGACACACTGTGGGTCTCATGATCACCGAGTACCGCAGGGGGTGGCAGATGGCCACGTAGCGGTCATAGCCCGTCAGGGTAAGGAGGAAGCACTGGCTGCATCCCAGGCCCAGGAAAAAGAACATCTGAGCCCGACAGCCAGGGATGGAGATGGCCTGGCTCTCCATGAGCAGATGGGCCAGCATGTTGGGGATAGTGACCAGCGTGTAGGAGGTCTCGGAGAGGGACAGCACGGCCAGGAAGCGGTACATGGGAGTGTGAAGGGTCGGATCCACCTGGATGATGATGATGATGGTGATGTTGCCACTGAGGGTGACCAGGTATGTGAGGAAGAAGAGCCCGAAAAGGGTGTACCTCAGGTGTGGGAGGTTGGAGAAACCCACCAGCACAAACTCGGTCACCAGCCAGGTGGCATTTTCCTGCTGCTTCTCAGGAGCCTGAAAGGAGAGGACAGAGTAAATGGAATGGGACAATTTTGTAGTGATCTGCCATACATCTGTACCAATAGGGCAGGAAATCATCCCTGTTTTACAAAAAAAAAAAAAAGAGAGAAACTCAGAAATTATGTCACTTCTAGGGGTGCCTGAGTGGCTCAGTGGGATAACCCTCTGCCTTCAGCTCAGGACATGATCTCAGGGTCCTGGGATTGAGCCCAGCTTCAGGCTCTCTACTCAGTGGAGCCTGCTTCCCCTCTCTCTCTGCCTGCTGCTCTGCTTACTTGTGAGCTCTCTCTCTGTCAAATAAATAAATAAAATCCTTTTAAAAAAAGAAATTATGTTACTTCTTTTCCTTAATATCACCCAGCTAGTCAGTGTCTCTTCAAAAGGCAAGAAAATTATAGATTTGGAAACAGCCTGTGTCAGTCAATGGATGAATGAATAAAGATATGGTATAGGGCACCTGGCAGGCTCACTGGTAGGACATGCGACTCTTGGGGAGGCGAGTTCAAGCCTATGCTTGGTGTCCAGAATTTTTGTTTTAAGATTTTATTTATTTATTTGACAGAGAGACAGTGAGAGAGGGAATATGGGCAGGGGGAGTGGGAGAGTGAGAAGCAGGCTTCCCACTGAGCAGGGAGCCCAATGCAGGGCTCGATCCCAGGACCCTGGCAGATACCTAATGACTGAGCCACCCAGCGCCCCTAGAGATTACTTTAAAAGAACAAGGAGGGGGAGGAGAGGGAAAAGGAGGAGGAGAAGGGCTGTATACACACTACGGAATATTAATCATCCTTGGGAAAGAAGCAAATCCTGCCTTGGGCAACTACCATGGCTGGATCTTGAGGACATTATGCTAAGTGAGATAAGTCAGAGAAGGAAAGACAAATACAGTATGGTATCACTCATAGGTGGAATCTGAAAGAGCCAAATTCTTTTTTTTTTTTTAGTTAACATATAATGTATTATTTGCTTCAGGGATATCAGTGTGTGAACCATCAGTCTTACACAATTCACAGCACTCACCATAGCACATACCCTCCACAATGTCCATCACCCAGCCACCCTCTCCCTGTCCCTGGAACTCCCAGCAACCCTCAGTTTGTTTTGTGAGATTAAGAGTCTCTTATGGTTTGTCTCCCTCCTGATCTCATCTTGTTTCATTTTTTCCCTCCCTATGCCCCATGACCCCCCCCCCGCCCTGCCTCTCAAATTCCTCATATCAGAGAGATCATATGAGAGTTGTCTTTCTCTGATTGAATTATTTCCCTCACCATAATACCCTCTAGTTCCATCCATGTCATTGTAAATGGCAGGATTTCGCCGGGGGTGGGGGGATGGGTGATGGCTGCATAGTATTCCATTGTATAGATATACTACTTCTTTATTCACTCACCTGTTGATGGACATCTAGGCTCTTTCCATAGTTTGGCTGTTGTGGACATTGCTGCTATAAACATTTGGGTGCACATGCCCCTTCGGATCACTATATTTGTATCTTTTTTCTTTTTAAGATTTTATATATTTATTTGACAGAGAGAAAGAAAGATTACAAGTAGGCAGAGCGGCAGGCAGAGAAAGAGGGGGAAGTAGGCTCCCGCTGAGCAGAAAGCCCAGTGCAGGGCTCCATCCCAGGACCCTGAGATCAAGACCATGACCTGAGATCATAAAGCCAAAAGCAGAGGCTTTACCCACTGAGCCACCCAGGCGCACCTACATTTGTATCTTTAGGGGAAATACCAAGTAGTGTGATTGCTGGGTCATAGGGTAGCTCTATTTTCAACTTTTTGAGGATCCTCCACACTGTTCTCCAGAGTGGCTGCACTAGCTTGCATTCCCACCAACAGTGTAGGAGGGTTCCCCTTTCTCCACATCCTCGCCAACATGTCATTTCCTAACTTGTTAATTTTAGCCATTCTGACTGGTGTAGGTGGTATCTCACTGTGGTTTTGATTTGTATTTCCCTGATGCTGAGTGATGTTGAGCACTAAAAGAGTCAAACTCTTGGGGCACCTGGGTGGCTCAGTGGGTTGGGCCTCTGCCTTTGGCTCAGGTCCTAATCTCGGGGTCCTGGGATGGAGCCTGGCATCAGGCTTTCTGCTCAGTGGGGGGTCTGCTTCTCCCTCTCTCTCTGCCTGCCTCTCTGTCTACTTGTGATCTCTCTCTCTGTCAAATAAATAAATAAAATCTTAAAAAAATAAAATAAAATAAAATAGCCAAACTCTTAAAAAAAAAAAAAAAAACAGTAAAATTGCCGTTACTTAAAAGTTTCTACCAGGGGGCATGCCTGGCTGGCTCAGTCAGTTGGGTGTGCAAGCCTTGATCTCAGGGTCATGAGTTCAAACCCCACGTTGGGCATGAAGCCTACTTAAAATAAATTTAAAAAAAATTTTTTTTAAGTTTCTACCAGGAGGCATGAATTTCCCAGTAATTCCCACTTGACATGTACGGGGAATTCAAAGTCCCCATCTGATGAGAAAAAACGTATCAGGGTCAAGGTAATGTGAGAGAGGAATTTACAGGGTCTGCTGCAGTCCATGTGAAAAGAACACCCCAGAAAGACAAAGCCTGTAACAGTGATATCTGCAATGAACAAAATAACACCTTTAGGAATCTGAATGTTAGGGCTACATCATGAGTTCTGTGGGCCCTAGGCACTTCTGCCTTCCCATAACAAATTTTCTTTTTTTTTTTTTAAAGATTTTATTTATTTATGAGAGAGAGAGAGAGAGAGCACAGGCAGACAGAATGGCAGGCAGAGGCAGAGGGAGAAGCAGGCTCCCTGCAGAGCAAGGAGCCCGATGTGGGACTTGATCCCAGGACACTGGGATCATGACCTGAGCCGAAGGCAGCTGCTTAACCAACTGAGCCACCCAGGCGTCCTGAAATTTTCTCATTTGTATCTAAATTGTGTTTAAATAGAATGTATTGAATCAAATAAATAAAATCTAAATTTTATTTAAAATTATTTAACAACAAAAAATAATAAAATAAAATTATTTAAATATTATCACACTTTAAAGGTTTATGTTATAGGACTGTCTTAGTATAAAGATGAATATATTCTTCAACCCTCAAAGTTTATTTATTTCTTTTGATCTGAGAAATTACAAAGTTTCATACCCCCCCATCCCCACCCAATAGTATTGTGGACCCTGGGCATTGTGCTAATGGCTACAACTGTGTTAATTAAATTGAAAACAACTCTTAAATTATTGACCATTTTAATTCAAATGATGAGGCTTTGGTAAAAATCCTGGATTGGAGACAGCATCATTGTTTAATGATCGATTAACCTGCCAGCTCAGAATAAAAATGCACCTCTACTGAAATGTTTCTCATAGTATTTTGCAGTCATTTGGAAGATGGGACCGTTTTAAGGAAAATGCCCCCCATCCCATCTTTCCCTGCTGCCCAAGAGTTCCTTGGCTTAGATAAGCAAAACTCAGTCTTGAGTTCCTCAAATACCAACTCAAGAGACAGGGTGGCTGGAAAGGAGGGTGGAGAGGACAGGACTGGTTTAGGAGCCACCTAGTGGCATTTCTGGGTAACCTGCTAGCCAGTGACCCCTAAGAGGAGGAAAAATGAATGGCTGTGCCTGACAACTCTCATCCACAGCAGTGGGGCCATAGAAGTTAAGAGTAATCATTTAAATGTTTTGGAAGTTTGCTGAAATTTTAATTTAGGAAACATAAATTTTAGACTTTAGTTCTGAAGATATATAAAATAGAGAAAAACAACAAAAATGTTCTTTATCTATATTCTGGTTTCAAAGAAGACAAGTCAGGACGATTGGCGAACTTAGAAGGGAAAAGGAGACGAGGGAAGGAAGAAACAGGAAGCCACACTAATCAAGCACAGGGGTGCAGACTTCTCTGGAAAGGACCGGATAGTGAATATTTTAGACGTAGTGGGCTGCACCATCTCGGCCATAACTGCTCAACTCTGCCATTCTAGTGTGAAAATGTATAAACAAGTGCGCACGGCTGTTTCAATAAAACTTTATTTACGAAAGCAGGCAGCGGGCCAGATCTGGTCCTCGGGCTGCAGTCTGCCAACCTCTGATCTAGCATGAGATGAACTAAAACAATATTCTACTTAGGGAAACTTCAAAGAGATCCTCTGAGGAATTCGTGCTGTGATAAAAGCAAAGCCTACCTTGAAATCTGCAGAAACTGAAGCAAAATGAAACTCATAAACCAAGAATCTTGCACTCCACTTAAGAACTCTAGATCTGAGAAAAGGCACACTGGGCAGAGACGCAGGTGTCTAAAAGAAGCCTTTTTGCTGCAAATTAAACAGTATCAGAGAGAACATCAGCACCTTGATAGAGTGAGAATAATAGAAACTCAGTGACCTAGAAGACTTCCTGAAGTAATTGGATACGACCATTTTAAAAAATATAATTTCCAAATCTCACAAAGCATTGTTAAATTGAAACAAATATATAGGCAAGTCACAAACTAGAAAAGGTTGGGGCTCTAAACTATATTTAGCTATTATAAATCAATAAGAAGAAAATGAAAACTTCCGGTTAAGATAACTAAGTCATGGGCTATCAAGTCCAGCATGGTGACCATAGTTCATGATACTGTACTGGGTATTTGAAAGTTACTGGAACGTACATCTTAAAAGCTCTCATCACAAGAAAAAGAATTTGTACCTATGTATGGTGAGAGACAGACTTATGATGGTGATCGTGTTGCCATATATACTAACATTGAATCATTACGTGGTACAACTGAAACTTCACACTCCCTCCGCCCCTTCTCCCCTGCCACTCACCTGCAGACACTCACAGGCCCATTCTCTCTCTAAATCATCACCATCATCATCATCATCATCATCATCATCAATAACTTGGGGCACCTGGCTGGTCCCTGCGGAGTTCGCAACTCTTGATCTCCGGGTCGAGTTTGAGCCCCACGTTCCATGCAGTGGTGACTTAAAAATCTGTTAATGGGACGCCTGGATGGCTCAATCACTTAAGCATCTGCCTTCAGTTCAGGTCATGATCCCAGGGTCTTGGGATTGAGTCCCACAAAGTGCTCTCTGCTCATCAGGGAGCCTGCTTCTCCCTCTCT